TTTACCAGCTCCAACCCTTATCCTAATAATGCAGATCAGCCTTGAAATTTTGTGACTACTAGAAAACTAGGATGCAGTTGAACCAAATTCAGCCTCTAGTATTTGCAAAATACTGACAGTTGTTTTCCCCAGTATTCAACCAGTTTTTAGTTCCTCTGTAATGTTGGTCTCCTGGCTCAAGGTTCCTTGGGTGAATTTGATATCTTTTATTAGACCAACCCAAATGGTTGGAGAATAGTTATTAAGCAAGCTTTCGGGTTCAAAAACCCTTCGTCAGGCTAAGGAAGCTTCAGCAGTTGGTGTGTGCTCTTCAGCATTTCCGTCTGAAATGAGAACTCATTTGCAAGGGCTAGAGGTTATTTGGGATCAAAAGTGAATGACACATCTTTAGATCAGGCAGAACAGCGAGGTACTGCGTGGTGAAGGCAAACAACCTCAGCACTCTCACACCTCAGTCAGGCAGAATCTTGAGCCAAAGCATTTCCATATTCTGATACCTAATAGTGGTTGACCACAGAGCAGCACTACAGGCTTGGATCAGCTGTCTACTGAGCATGGCTACAAGGACATGGGATGGAATAAGATGGAGGGAAAGCAGAACCTTTCTGGAATCACTGTGCCCAGGTGAATGCACACTTGACGCAGATCCTTACTAGGCCAACACAGCAAAGGCAACACTACACTTGAATTCCCAGAGTTCTTCCTTCTGGCCTTACTCTCCCCCAGATGACTATCTTCAGAGAAACGTCCATTTGTCCAGCAGATTATGCTAACTGAGAGGAAATCACAATCTATTGCTGGGAGGCCTAGGCACTCGTGCTGCAGGAAGCAAAGCCATGTGTATTTTGTCCATTACTCTTGGCATATAAAGTGATTACACTGAGCTGGAGCAGGCGTTTTCTATAGCTGTTTTCCCACTGATCAGCCCAACTCACCAATCTCAGCCATGATACTCTCAACGCCTCCAGAAGGAGTTGTTTTCTCCTGTTTCAAAACAAAAACAAAAACAACATAACCTCAGATGGGTGCCCTCTCACCCCAGTTCTTTGCTCCAAGTGGGATGGTAACAGGCATGTAGGATTTAATAATGATGACAACAACAAATGTTATGGCCTCAGTTGCAAGGAATGTAGAAGCCATGACTCCCTGAACTCGGTCTATTCAGCAGAGAGCAGTGATACGGACAACAGACTAATAGAGTTCTCCAGCTACGCTACTGCGCATCTTGCATAGAACCAAAGCGCCAACTCAGGCAGACCTCTGCCAGCATGGTGGCCCAAGAAGTAGCATCTGAATGAAACAGCACACCAGGCTTGTTTGCTGCAGGGGCCAGCTCAGTTCCCTTCAGAACTCAGTGGCGGAAGAACAAGCTTCACCATACCCTTTGAAAGGTATCGTTAAAAAAATAACACAAGAAACAATAAAGAACAAAATACCTTCCTGAGCAGCTACTGCTCTTTAACTGGTTCTTTAAGGTCTTTGATGTAACACAAGTCTTCAGCCACCAAGGATTTCACTGCTGTTGTTAGTAAGCACTCATGCAGCGGTGAGGGCACTAAATATGGTACAAATGTTTAATAAATGACACCTTCCCTCAACAGTGTTGTGTTGCAAACTACAGCCATTTCTGGATGTAACAGAGACAGATCGCAGACCCTGCTGCTCTGAAAGAACGGACTTCTACCGCTGGAGTTAGCAATTAGCAATATAGCAATAGAATTACCAATATAGAGTTTCTGATGCACAGTAAAGATATTTCAGTTCCAGCCAATAGAGGGCAGTGGTGTGCACATACTCTAGTCCAGTCAATTCATTATGGCTTGTTCTGTGAGGTCAACAATTAGCCTCCGGTGCTATGCATCTCTAGTTCAGAGTACAAGGCATAAACCAAGAAAAGTATCAAAAGGGGAGGTGGTCCTAACTGAAGCAGGATGTTCTGTGTTTGATCAGAGTTCCTCAGAGGAAATATTCTGCTTCTGTGACCCCCTCGCCCCCAACCTCATGCACTCATGCTGGAGCATTATCTGCTCGTTATTTGGCACAGCAAAGGTAAGAATCTGTGCAGTTGGATCTAATTTTAAAAATAAAAAGCCCAGAAACCTTAGAGAAAAAAAGAAATATGTTAAAAAAAGAAAGTCCAAATATTTGACCTACAAAACAAAACTCCTCAATTTTTCCCAACTTTAAAAAAACCAAACTCTCACTTAGTGGAATCAAGTGGATTCATGAACTGCATTCTTAGCATTGTCCACCTCCTATTTTAACTTAGAGCAGTGATTCTCAGCCAAGGGGCTGCAGCACCCTGGGGTACCTTGGGATACTTTCAAGGGTGCAGCAGAGTGCCACACAATGCTACCACTGTGAGGTGGGCATATGATTCACAAGATAAACCCAGAGATGTGAAAGAGGAATCCCTAGTGTCAAAAGCATTGTGGCCTGTTGTGGGCTTTCTGAGTTCCTTGGAACACAAATACTGTTCTATTATTCCTCTGTAGTCAAAAAAGAAGTGAAAGCTCAGAGCTGGCATTTTACAAGGGGTGCCTCAAGATTAAAAAGGTTAAGAATTACTGACCCAGACAGTAAACACTCCAGAATGGGACTGTTTCTTTCTATGTGCCTGTAGAGTACCTAGCACAATAAGACTCCAGTCAAGATTCAGCTCTCTAGTAGCATAACTAGGAGCTAGCAAGGGGGGCACCCACCCTGGGTACAGATTTCAGGAGACATCAGAATGGTGGACCTAGGGAGCCTCGGTCACAGGGGGTGCTGAAGCCGCTACTTGGGGAGCCTGCACTGCAGATACTTCTACTTTGAGACCCTGCCTGGGCAGCCCAGGTCTTTGAGTCTCTAGGTGAGTTAAGACTTGCTCAGAACCTCCTTCCACTCTGCTCAGGGCACCAAAATAGTTATGTCTCTGGATATGTCTTGGCACTGCTATAATATAAGGAATTCTTATAACTAGTGGAATCTAACACCTGTGCTGCTAACAAGAACAGAGTCTATCATATAATTGCATAAGCAATATTTTAACTATAAAATCCTTTCTGGTTTTCCTATGTGTCCTGCTTATACTGTAAGCTCTTAGGCAGTGATGCCTCCTAGAAAAGACCTGGGACTGGGGCTCAGGAAGGTGGGTTCTATTCCCACCCCTGCCACTGGCTGGCTGGATGAGCTCTGGGAAATCAATTTGCCACCCGTAAAGCAGGCACAACAGTGCTGACCTCCTTTATGAAGTGGTTTCAGATCCATTAGATAGATGCCATGTAGGAACTGGGTGTCCTTGGGATATGGACTATATTTATCACATAATCGGTATGAGCTAAGTCCACAACTAGCCAGGGTTCGAATTACACTCCGACTCTTGGGTGGGGGTCTGCGGTGTTGGCAGCCAGAAGCCTGAAGGAGCCGCTGGTGCTGCTGCCTGAGCTGCTTAGAAAGGCACAGAGTGGGCCAGGGGCTTTTGTCTCTTATGGTGGGGGGAAAGGGCTCAGCCCTCCCAGTTTTTGAACCCTGTGATTAGCTCTTGGTAATGGTTGCATTATGTACATTTTTGCCTTTATAGGCCAATTCCCTCCTACTATCATGCATGTCAATGGACGAGTTCAACAGCTTGGTTTCCAAAGCCTTTAACAGCTTATTCCTCTTTTGGTAACAGATCTGGGGAAAGAAGTGGAAGGGGAGACTCCCCTGGAGTCGGTACTCTCTAATCTTACTGTCAGCCTGGCTATAAAAGGAGTCCCTCTATGCTTGGAAAAGCTCACATTAACTCCATCAGTTTCTTTCATTTCCAAATGCCCCGTAACTACATGGGTTTCCTTGAATGTGACTTGCTGCTGGGGCCTGTAATTCTCACTAGTGTAGGAAACATGCATAGTTAATCAGGGATTGACCTTTGGGGAAGGGAAACCGCAGCTACTTTTGGCATCTGCCTCCTATCTTGGGTACTTGCTGATTGCTGCCTGCCACCAGGAGGATCTCTTAATCCCTGCTTATTACTCACAGGGTTTAGATAAGCACCTAGATGGATCCAGTGATAAATGGAAGTGAAACTCTGAACTAGTGCTTGCCCTGGACCTAGTGCACTGCCCTCCAGCATGTAAATCTGACTGCTTTTTTAACAGGTTAATACTTCACTGTAGGGGATACTCAACAAGGAGGGGAAAACATACAGCACAGATGGTAAAACTATAGCTAATCACTACCCCTGCTTGTATCTCCAGAAGGCCTCCTTTTGGCAAGAGATGCGGCATGACATTAACTTGACCTATATAGTTTCAAGGCTTCTAAGAGCTTTTGTATTTATGAAGCCATCAGGTTGGATATCAGATTAGATCACATCGGTGTTGCCCTGAATTCCTGTGAGGGCCTGACTGTAACTAAATATTGCCCGTTTTCAACAGGGCACTAGTCCATATACTGCTTCAGCCTTGCCTGCAGGAGCAGGAGTCCAAGATTCCTTCACCACTGCTCAGAGAACATGTGCTACTGCATACAGCCCTTGGTGTATGGCTATAGCTCACAATGAGGACACTGCCAGGAACAAATTTAAAGCAAGAGCTGGTTTTCAGATTTTCTCAGTCACCAGTAGATGCACTCAGGGCTTTCACTGGTGGCTTCGCTGATGTGGTTAAGAATGTCGAGCTCACTTAGTCATTGTAGAAACAAACAGAGAGACTAGACTGCGGGTCAAATCACCTGTCTTTGCAAGAGCAAAATTTCAACCAGAGCATTCATGCAGATAAAGGGCTGGAAAGAGGGTCAGAAACACTGATAGTGTCAAACCTAGAATAGCAAACTCTGTATGAAGGCAAACATGTACTGAGGAATGGCAGCGATGCTCACTGACACAGAACAGGCCAGGATTACCATTTACATTGTGCCTCATAGGTTAATTAACTTTGAATGTGCACAGGTGCAAGCCCACTGACTTTCATGGAGCTGTGCCCACCAAATCCAGTGGAGAATGTAGCCTGGAGCATTCACCCTCAAATGCCTGTCTGCCAAACATGCTGCAGCATGTTAGACACACAGGCACAAGCATCTGTTTCTCTCTGTCCCCTCTCATTGGTATCTTCTTTGGCATGGCATCTTGGATGCCAGAGTCAACAGACTGATTTTTGTTCAGACTTTTCACTGGCTTCTAGGGGCAGGAGGAAGAAAGCTGCCATCTGCTTACTGTTCCCACACTAGTCTAGAAGCTGTGGTGGTCCTCTCAGAGAGCAGACGTTACAGAAGCCTCCTCTTCCTCCCATTCAGCGCAAACAGAAGGATTGCAGGGACAGGCTGGGCATTAGGTGAAGAAGGAAGCAGCAACATCACTACTGGGCTCACCTCTTCCTAACAGCCCCTCTCCTACCCACTGAACAAGCGTCCTTCTTGACCTCCCTCCTCTTCTCTGCCTCCCTGGGGCCTCCTCTGCTCTTACTCCTCCTGCTGTCTGAAAGTAATGGCTCACTGTTCCTTTCATCAAGCTCTATCACTACTAATTGCCTCCATTTGGATTACAGACTCATTTTCTTCTACCCATTGTTCCTGCCAGACATTTGATTCCTTGCTGAACTGCACAGATCTTCCCCATCTCTCTCATATATATCTTCTCCAACACTTCATAATCTACCAAGTTGTTTTCTCACCCTTTCTCTCTGCTTTATGGCTTCCATATTTGTTAGCCTTCTTCCCACCGCTCCAGTCCTCCTCCTGCTCCACTCTTCTCTCTTCTACTGGAAGATTTGGTGCCCCATCACCTCACCATCTCCTTGATCACCTTCATCTTCTCCCTAGACCTTTCTCAGTCTCCTCCCCTTGCTCCTGGGGAAGTTGTTCTCTTTCTGGTCCTTCCAACATGCCCATTCTTTCCCTCTCCTCCTCACTTCCTCCCCTTGAATTTCTCTGACAGGATCCTTAACACCCACCCACCATCCCCCCCCCCACCGCCCTC